ACTGTAAGCTATTTTTTAAACTTTTAAATAGCCATTTAGTACTTTAATCTTTTAGTTAGCTTTAGCTATTTTGGCTTTAGACAACCATTTGCTACTTTAAGCTTTTAAAATGTAATGCATGTAGCTGTCTGATGAAGAGCATCGAACTCTCGAGGAAGTCAGACACACCGTGTGGATCTTCACGACTGATAAACACAAAATCATGACCTTCAAGTTCAAAATGACCTTTCACGTGAAGCCCGTGAAGAACAAATGCAGACATGGTTTGAAATCTTCACAGCTTTGACTGCCCTCTAGCGGTTGAAGATGCAAACAGCAGGATCAATTAACCAGATGTGGTTGTTTATTCGGTAGATAACTGTATTGTGCACACATAGTTTATTGTAGCGTGCATGAGTGAATGGAGGAAGAAGAGTGACCCTCTCTCCTCACTTTATTACACTTATTGTTTGTTTTGCACTCGTTTACTGCTTACTGACCAGCAACAACATAATTAATAATCCGTTAATTACAGGGAGTTCTGTACCAGAACATGAATATTCATCCAGATGAGAACAAAATTGTCCTTGAAGTTTTATTATATAACAAACTGAACAACACAAACAATAAAGGATAATAATTTGGAGAATACCTCGTTTGAAAAACAGTAATGAACAACTAAACAGTAATTAATCAATGAATAATTTATTTTATCTTATATTTCTTTTATATGCGCACAAATTTAGACAAAGTTCCAGTTGCAGCTGCGTCGACCATCTTGTTACGTATTGAGTGCGTGTGCACGTGACAAGACGTGATTTGTTGACGCAGCTTCATCTGGAAGGAGACGAAGACGCGGGTCGTGGACTGAGTAGCAGTCCAAGCAGTTAGCGCTTTAGCTTCAGCTAATTGTTTTAGCGGTTTAACGTTGGCAAAGCTAAATTTTAGTCCGGTTAGCTAACATTGGTTAGCTGTGCCCACCGCTGCCGACCTCTTTTGTTGGCTCCAGGTTCGTTTGACGTTCTCTGCTGCTCTTTCCACATCAACATTAAAAATTACTGAAACTTTCAAACAAATTTTTCTTGGCTTCAAAGTTGAGCGTCATGAAGTCTGCACAATTTAAAAGTTTTTCAGCTAATTAAAAGGCGATAAAAAAAACATTTGACTTTTAAAATGTCATCTTGAGGGCCAGATAAGGTGTTAACAAGGGCCTTATTTGGCCCTCGAGCCTTGACTTTGACATCGATGCTTCACACAACTCACTGAAACTACAGGAATAAGAAATAAAAATTGTTTTCTGTATTTATCGTATCATTTTCTGCTTCCTGGTTTACTCATAAGACCTTTGTGAATTCAAATAGTTTTACTTCCTGTTTGGTGTTCCACCTGGTTGTTGCCTCCACAGCTGCAGATAATCTGCATTTCCACACCTGGTGTTCCTTCTTCCTGGTTTCTGTTGTAGCGTGTGGGTTCTTCACCATTCTTCGGCCCGTCCTGCCCGTTTTCAGAAGTTGGCAGCGTTTTCCCGTTGGTCTCGTTTTGCTGGATTCAGATAAACCGCGATGCTTTGCATAGTTTTCCCTGACCGTTGCCTTATTGTTGCGTGTTTGGCTTTTTCACGTCCTGCAGAGCGACACGGGAAAGTTGGGCCTTTTTCTAAAATTCATCATAAGTTTACAAGTTCAGTTTGTGAATTAGTTTAGCTTTGATTAATTAACTCAAAAGTTACAAGGAAAAATCACGTTTCTGCAAAAATGCATAAGAAGCTGAAACTGAGTTCATAAAGCTAAAATAAGCAGACCAGCTAAAAGCTAAAAAAAAAAAAAACACGTTAAAGTCTGATGTAGCAGAATTCTACTAAAAGTAGCAAAACACTTAGTCTTAAAACTAGTTGAGTGGCAAAAGGATAGCTAAAGGCAAAATATAGCAAAATGATAAAAGCTAAAAGTACCAAAAGGCTAGCCTAAAGCTACAAAATGCTAATGAAAACCAGCTAAATGTTAGCTAGAAATGAAAAATAGCTAAATACTAGTTTAAAGTAGCAAAAAGTGGGATAAAGCAGCTAAAATCTATAGTAGCAAAAGACTAAAAGATAAATGTTAAAACTTGTTCATAGCTAAAATCTGCGAAAATGTAGCTAAAAGTACTCAAATCTAGCTATAATTAGTGAAAGACTAATAAAAATGAGCTAACTATAAGCTAAAAGTAGTAAAGCGTTAAAATAAACTAAAGGCTAGCTTCTAGCTAAAAGTAGCAACATTCAGCTAAATGTTTGCTAAATACAAAAGCACGGAAAAGGCTGGCAAAAACTAAAAGTAGCTAAATAGAAGATATCGGCATCAAATACCGACTTTTATCCTCGTCCTTTTGAGCTCAGGGATTTGTCCAAATTCTCTCCCCCAACTTTTTATTTAAAACAAATGTTTTTAATTGTTGCTGCCATAAAATTCAAGATTATTTTGTTTTTTTTCTAAAACTGTAAACATTTTTGGAACATTTGACACGTTTACTCTCATTGTGAATAAAATGTTCCTTCATATTATAAATCACTGCATTATCTTTTATTTATTTATTTACATTTCACTCAACAGCAAAACTTTTTCAGAAGTCGGTTTGTTTAAATTTACTTTTTTTAATTGTACTAGTACAAGTATTCCAAGGTTTTTTTTTTATGTTTTCTGGCTGAAGGCTGAAGGCTGCACAGAAATCTGTTGGAGTCAGTCTCCCCACCATCACAGACATCTACACCTCCAGATGCAGGAAGAGGGCCACCTGCATCATGAAGGACCCCACCCACCCAGCACACACACTTTTTGCCCCACTCCCCTCAGGAAGGAGGTTAAGGAGCATTAAGTGTAGAACCACTAGACTGAGGAACAGCTTCTACCCTGAGGCTGTTAGACTCATGAATCTCTAACTAGAATAATCACTGTGAAAAACCATATCATGTTGCTGCTGATCTGTTTCATGTTGCTGCTGATCTGTTTCATGTTGCTGCTGATCTGTTTCAATGTTGATGTGTTCATGCGTGCACATCTGCTCACAGACTCATGTTCATGTTTGTGCTGATGTTCAATGTTTTATGTTATGAGTGCTTAGTGTATATTTAGTTGATGTTTTTCTTAGTTCATATCTTAGATGTTATTACTGTTTTTCTTATACATTTTATTGTTGGATGTAACTGGGACCCTGTGTACATAATTTCGCTCCACCACATGTACCACATGAGGTGCGAATGACAATAAAGAAACTCTGACTCTGACTCTGACTCTGACTAAAATATCATATTACTGCATAGATACATATTTGGTCACAGAAAATCTGTGTTGAACTTTTTGACCTCGTTCAGTGTCGTCATCTTCCAACACTGCTGAGTTCACACCTGCTGCCGTCGTCCTCAGGCAGTAATCTGAAGGAAATTCCTAATCTGGAAAACGTTTAAGCTACAGACACGTAGAAAAATATGAGGATCTTCCAGAACTCCTCTACACGAACGTCTTCATTCTTGAATTTTTGTGTTCAGGTGAGGAGGTCTGAAGCTGGGAGGCTCTTGAAGCCGACCGAAGGAAAGGTCACGGATGGAGCTGCTTGAAGAGTCTTCGGTTGAGTCGTGCTGACGCAACCTGGAAGAGCTCCATGATTTGTCCGAATACAGAACTTCTTCTTGCATTTTGAACACCAGGTTTGTATTCTGTCGTCCTAACTCTGGGGTTAAAGCGGACGTTTGTGTTTCTGACTCAAACAAAGCGCACCTTTCGTCCCACAGACGCTGCCTTTAGGCGTGTCGCGGTGACTTTGGAACCTGGACTCACTGGGACCATTGCCCGTTCCTCGAGGCAGAACCGCACCAGCTCGTTTGATCTAAACGAGTTCCGCTGGAGTTCTGAAAATGTGATGTCATGCCAGAGATGCAACCAGAGGACAGTCTAGACGTAATTGTTATTAACCTGTGGGTTAACGTCGCGCTGTTCCTGCAGAAATAACTCCCTGAAGAGTTGTGCTTAGATGCTACTGCTAATGACGGGTATCATACAGTTCATTGTTAAAACAATAAAACCCACGTTTTTTATTTATTAACTAAGAAGTCGAGTTTGCAGGAACATCTCTGGAACGTTTGAGCACAATTCAAAAAGGCTTTAAACTCTTCAGCCTTCAGGTGTGGTTTCTATGGTTCAGGGTGGTTTCTATGGTTCAGGGTGGTTTCTATGGTTCAGGGTGGTTTCTATGGTTCAGCTGAGGTTTCAGTCATTCAGGTATGGTTTCTATGGTTTAGGTTTGGTTTATATGGGTCAACTGAGGTTTTATGGTTAAGGTGTGGTTTCTATCATTCAGGTG